AACAAACTAGGAAGAATGATTGGTTTGGGTCGGAGTTGTTGTTGATGGGGTTAGAACTTGGCGATTGATTGTTTGTTGATCAATCCGTGCCTGGGATGAAGGATCTGAGAGGCCGATGAAATTGTGTACAAAGCTTGTCCATCGCCATAGATCTTCCAATGTACCCATTTGACCAATCCTTGAATTGGTCTTGCATGACTGAAGTTGCCGAATTGAAGTTGGGATGAGTCGACCATTCGGCTTATTGAACCACAACACAATTCTTTTATTCCTGTTAATTGTTAGCACATGCACATGTATATATATTCCAAGAATCAACTTTTGTGAGACAATAATTTAATAAATAAAGTCCTAAAGTGGGTTTGGCCGGGAACCTTTTTTGTAAGGCCGAAAAGATGTTCTCACAAAGAAGTGTGAAACCCATTTTTAGAGAGAGAAAATTTGGACTCTATTGTAGATTCACTACCTTCGTCTCATGCTTTTAGCTTTCCTAAACAAAATTAATATTTATTTCACAGAACCTGTAAGCATAAAGATAGAGACCTATATATACATATATGGTGTTTGCTCTGCTCTTCATTGAATTCTCAGACGTTTTTCACAGACGACGCCAATTGTGAGACCAGGAAAATCCTCTCACATGGATTGGAGAGATCCAACGATGAGATGAGCTTTGCCCTTATATATCTGCAAAGATGAATGTAGTTGTCGCCATCCAACCGGAGTTACCGGTCGGAGACACTTCGATGGTGAAATTAGCCACTGAAATCAGAGAAGAAATATGAAGAGAATGAAGTGTTTGCGTGATATATGGCAGAGAGAGATAAGACATACCTCTTGTGTTTGGGGTCCTCTACTTTTATAGGGGATAGATGATATTTGTTTAGGATATTTTACCCCTAGAGCTAAGATATTTTTCTGGCTCTCACAATAATAATAGAGGAAACAACAATAATAGTCAAACAAAAAAATTATATAAATGTTATATTTTTTCATAATTTAACAATTTAGTTTATTGTTATCATCACTATACTGTTATTTTCTCATGATAATATTATGACATAGAAAATAACAAAAATAATTTACTAGAACAATTTTAAATACGAATTTTAAATATTTTATATAATATTCACGTGAGTTTAAATACACGCTATAAAAAAACCCACACTTATTATATTTATGTCAATATTTAATAAATATTTGACAATTCATTGATGGTGTCTAATATTTTTGAAAAAAAACCCCACCTATTCATACAAAAAATTTGCAATAATGACATGACAATATCATTATTATAAATAAATGCATTTTCAATAATGTTTTGTTAAAAAAGTGAATGAATTATGAGACACATCATTTGGTATAAAAATTATGTAGTAATTTTTTGTTCGTATAGTATTACTATTTTGAAAAAATTATACATAATAATATGTTTCAACGAACACATTTTTTCAAAACACAATCATAATTGTATTGTGATTATGTCACATTAGATGTTATTTAAAATAATATATTATTAAATTTTTTTAATTCAACAGTAATATGATGTCATTACCAATCTATTGTATTATTAACTACGTGAATTAGTTTAAGAAGAAATATAAAATTATATCAGAATAAATGTACAGTTTGAATAATAAAATTCATTATTTCATCTCACGTGTAATATTATTATTGATTAATAATACCGTATATAAATAATAATGTGATATACTTAATTTTAACTTCTTACTAGAGATTCCAAATCTTTAACCCTAAAATTTACTATTATCTGGTAACTTTCAAATGAGTCACATTTTTTGTTAATTTTTTTAGCTATTTTTAAAATTATGTAAATTTTTTCTTTTTTCTAGTTCCTCTTGTGTAAACGAATTTAAAAAAAATTCAAAAAAAAGTTTAAAAATTCAAAAGACTCAGAGATTGATTATCAATCACAAACTCAAGCAATTGATCAGAAAGTCTACCATGCCAATAATTCAGATCTCAAAGATTAGATCACTAGTCAAATAATAAGTTGGTCAGTGACGTATGACAAAGTCTCAGAGATTGATTATTAATCACAAACTCAAACAATTGATCAGAAAGTCTACCATGCCAATTTAGATCTCAAGAGATTAGATCATTAGTTAAATAGTAAGTTGGTCAGTGATGTATGACAAACACTCAGAGATTAATTATCAATCACAAACTCAAACAATTGATCAGAATGTCTACCATAACAATTTAGATCTCAAGAGATTAGATCATTAGTCAAATAGTAAGTTAGTCAGTGATGTATGACAAAGTCTCAGAGATTGATTATCAATCACAAACTCAAACAATTTATCAGATAGTCTACCATGTCAATTCAGATATGAAGAAATTAGATCATTAGTCAAATAATAAGTTGGACAGTGACATATGACAAAGTCTCAAAGATCAGAAACTGAAAGAATTGCTCAGAAAGTCTATCTTATCAATTCATCTCTTAATAGAATAGATTATTAGCCAAATAGATTATTAGAAAGTCTATCATATCAATTCAATTCTCAAGAGATTAGATCAGTAGTCAAATAATAAGGTATACCATGTCAATTCAAATATAAACGAAGAGATTCGATTTTCAAAATTAATCGAACTGTGCACAAACTTAACCTAAAGGAACACCCGATTGCAAATATAGACCACAACATATAGTTGGGTTATTAAAATAGTTTGCTACTTATTTGTAATTTATTTTTTAAATGTACACTGATTAACTAAAACCCAATTTCATATTTCTTGAGCCAAACGGTCCAAATTTGTCCACAATAGTCACTTTATTTCTTGAGAGTTGTTCTAGTACTATCAACCTGCCATACACATGCATCTCATTTAATGTTTTAGATTGACAAATTTGTCCATAACAGTCACTTTCTTTATTGAGAGTTGTTTTAGTACTATCAACCTACCATACACATGCATCTCATTTAATGTTTAAGATTGACAACCACCAATAAGTCAATTTTTTATTATTTATTTGCTTTCACTTGCTTCTATCAGTGGACAAAAATTTAAAGAATACTTATAAATTTTTTTTTAGAGTTTTGTTGTACACATCTTATTAATGGCAACTGCAAATCAAAAAAAACTTTTTTGAGTTTCTATATATTTTTCTTTATACTTGTCTTGGGCACTGATGTAATCATTCCATCCAGGAACTTGGTGATCTCTCTCTCCCACCAACACCAACACCAACACCAACACCAACACCAACACCAACACCAACTCTATGACGGGGGCAAATCAAACAAATGGATGCAGAAGAAGAGCACCAAGAAACTCAAGAGTTTGTATACGATTACTCATATATTCCTATCAGCAGAGTTTGCATATATTCATCTTTGACAAAGGTATGACATCCTTCCAAACACTTTCAGATTTTTCATTTCTTTTACAGATTTTTTTTTTTTGTAATAATGTGTAGTATGTTTTCAGATTTTTCATGGATCCACATAGTCAGAAAATGGACTCTGAAGATCATGATGGAGATGAAGATGAAGTTGAAGAACCAAGTGCAACTCCAGTTTGGAAATATGTTACAAAAGTTCCTGGTGAAGGATCTAGTGCCAAACCTGGAGGTGGTGGATCAATGAAATTTATTTACAATTTTGGTTGCAAAATTGTGGCATATACTAGTTCTTTTTCACGAGTTCGACAACACTTAATCAGAAAATTACTAGACCAATGATATCAAGGGATAGAAGTATGTCAAAAGTATAGCCAAGCTAAGAAGCAATTACTAAAGGAAGAGGAGTTGGCTGCACAAAGAATTTTTGGCAGAAATTATAAGTCTAGAAAAAATCCCATGCCTTCAAAGACACGGAAACCATCTCAGACCACTGGAAAATCTTTAGTCAAGGCTTCAGTTGACAAAATGTTTCAAACAGCTAGTAGAGAAGAAGTTGATAAGAAGATTGTAAGATGCATTTACGGCAATGGCATTGCTTTCAATGTTGTGAGGTCACCATTGAGGGCAGATATGGTCTCTTCTATTTTGAATGCACCAAAAGGGTACAAGTCCCCCAACTATGAGAAAGTTAGGACTGCTCTTTTGGACAAAGAACATAAGAAGGTGCAACAATCTCTCACTCCCTTGATGCAGGATTGGAGCACTCATGGGGTCTCTATTATTTCTGATGGTTGGTCTAATTTAAAAAACCAACCTCTTATTAACATCATGGCTATCTTTGGATGTAAAACCATTTTTATAAATGGACATGATGTTTCTTCCATAGAGAAGACTGGGGCTAATATTGCTGAGCTGCTCTTGAAGGCCATTGATTATGTTCGCCCTTCCAATGTGGTCCAAGTTATGACAGATAATGTTTCCAATTACAAGGCTGCAGGTGCGATAATTCAACGAAAGCATGCCCATATTTTTTGGTCTGGTTATATGGCTCATACCTTAAATCTGTTGCAAAACTGTGGCATATACTGGTTCTTTTTCACGAGTTCGACAACACTTAATCGGAAAATTACTAGACCAGTGATATCAAGGGATAGAAGTATGTCAAAAGTATAGCCAAGCTAAGAAGCAATTACTAAAGGAAGAGGAGTTGGCTGCACAAAGAATTTTTGGCGAAAATTATAAGTCTAGAAAAAATCCCATGCCTTCAAAGACACGGAAACCATCTCAGACCACTGGAAAATCTTTAGTTAAGGCTTCAGTTAGCAAAATGTTTCAAACAGCTAGTAGAGAAGAAGTTGATAAGAAGATTGTAAGATGCATTTACGGCAATGGCATTGCTTTCAATGTTGTGAGGTCACCATTGAGGGCAGATATGGTCTCTTCTATTTTTAATGCACCAAAAGGGTACAAGTCCCCCAACTATGAGAAAGTTAGGACTACTCTTTTGGACAAAGAACATAAGAAGGTGCAACAATCTCTCATTCCCTTGATGCAGGATTGGAGCACTCATGGGGTCTCTATTATTTCCGATGGCTAGTCTAATTTAAAAAACCAACCTCTTATTAACATCATGGCTATCTTTGGACGTAAAGCCATTTTTATAAATGGACATGATGTTTCTTCCATAGAGAAGACTGGGGCTAATATTGCTGAGCTGCTCTTGAAGGCCATTGATTATGTTCGCCCTTCCAATGTGGTCCAAGTTATGACAGATAATGTTTCCAATTACAAGGCTGCAGGTGCGATAATTCAACGAAAGCATGCCCATATTTTTTGGTCTGGTTATATGGCTCATACCTTAAATCTGTTGATAAAGGATATAGCTAAAAGTGAGGATTCATTGCTGTCATTTGTTGATAAGTCTTATGAAAAAAGGCAAGTCAATTGTTAAATACATCAAAAATCACTCCTCTTGTCAGTACTTGTTCAAGGCCTTTTCAGCATTGGAGTTTCTCAAAGCAAAAAAAACCAGGTTTGGCCATAATTTTATTGTATTGCAACGACTTGTTAAAATGAGACCATCATTAATGTCTATGGCTCTAAGCAAGCAATGGGATAACTTGAAGAGGAGTACATCCTCACCAGAGCAGCATGACATTGTCTAATAAACAATTATGGACGATGACTTTTGGAAAAAATCAAAAACAGTCCTCAAGTTTACAAAGCATATATATAAGATGCTTCGTTTTTCTGATTCAGAGAAAGCAGTTATTGGGGAGGTTTATGAGCAAACGGATACAATGTTAGGAAATATCAAGACTATCTTTCTGATGATCTTGCAATTGATGATTTGGTTCAACAATTTGTGGTGGCAAGATGGGATAAAATGAACATTTCTTTACATTGCCTTGGATATGTTCTTGTTTCTAAGTACTACACAAATTATAGGCTTTCACAACCAACTCCTGGTGGTGTGAGTAGGAAGAAGCCTTATTTTGATAAAGAGGTGCAAACAGGATATCTTCAATCAATTGAAAAAATTGTTGTTGACCAAAATAAAGCTTCTTTGATACGCCATCAAATCAACGATTTTGTAAGTAACAAAGTTGTTTTTGCACAACCCTCAGCTGTGAAAGATAGAGCAATCATGATTACATTATCATGGTGGCATATGTATGGTGGGGCTGCTCCTGAATTGTTCTCATTGTCTGTGAAGGTTTTGTCTCAAAGTGTAAACACTTCTTGTGCTAAGAAATGTTGGAGTACCTATTCCTACATTCACAATTTGAAAAAGAACAAGTTGAATGTGGATGAGCTGAAAAATTAGTTTTTGTGCACTACAATCATAGGTTATTTTTCTCTTCTTTGTTTTATTTGTATTATCTATTATGTTCTGGTTTTTGTATTTTTTTTCCTTATTATAATATATTATTTGTTCTTCTCTTGTCAACAAATTACAGGTTGTTGACAAGATATATGGATGATTATGAGGACTTTAAGAATTCGGATGCCTATCCAAAAGGTGCCAACATAGAGGAGGATTTCACTATAATAGAACAAATGGATAATGTGTCTTTCTCAGATAATAAAGAGGATGGTGAAAACAACTTTGATGATGTTGGGGTTCCAAGCCTAGCTTTAGCTGTTACTGCCTCTTCATCTTGCCCACCTTCAAGTATTCAAGAGTCTTCTTCAATAGAGAAAATAGAGAGAGCACAAAGGAGGCTTGAAAAGGCAAGTGGTAAAAAGCAAAAGAAATGAAGAATTTGCTGCACTTTGGAGAAAGAATGAATCAAAAACTGTCTTGTTTGTTTTATTTATTTATTTATTTTTTATTTTTCTATCCTTGTTTTTGGTAGCAACTCTACTTTTGTGGATTGGTGGACTTTTGTTTTTTTGTGGTGACGCTTAATTTTTTTGCCTAGACTTAGTGATATATTTTGTCTATCTAATAGTAATTAATAAAATATTTATATTTTGGTAGCAACTTTACTTGTTTCATTTATAACATATATATGTATGTCAATTAAAGATAAAAAATATATATAGATAAATTAAAAATATAATTAATAAAAATAATACATAAGTGCTCCTACTTTATGACTTCTCTAAGTGGTCACGTTACCTCGTTCCCACCCCTGCTCCTGCTTCCGCTTCGTGCAACTAAGGGCGAAAGGGATGTCCTCCTTGAGGACGCTTGGCTCCTAGAGATCAGGATGAGCGACCGACTTCTGAAAAGTCGGCGACAATGTGATCAAAGATGTCGAGGTCAGGGCCGGGCTGACAATGAGCCTACTTTTGCCCACCGATATGGACGAAATTAGTGACTATAACAAGTATGAGAACTTCGCCCTGATGATGAGGCACTCAGTCCTGGTAATGTTCCTTTATTCATGCTCTTTTCAAATTTTGTTTTTCTTATACTTAGTGAAATATTTGCTAATTCACTTCTCTTTTTTGCAGGCCATCCAACACGTGCACTCCTATGCAGTCAAGGTCGAGTTGGTGAAAAAGAACAAAAAGACAAACGAGGTAGCAAGCTTCCTTTCTTAACTCAACAAGGTTGAGGCTAAGATTAAAAGCCTGATGGATGCGGCAAACGTAGCCAAGGCCGCTGAAAACAAGGTTGAGGCTATTACCAAAGCCGTTAGGGCTGCTGCTAAAGCTGCCGAAGATAAAGCTGTTGAGGCTGAGATTGCTCTAAATGAGGCCTTGGATACCAAGGAGATCGAGATCAAGGCGGTGAACGAGAAGGCATATGCAGAGGGGCAAGCCGACGTCTGGGACTAGTATAAGAAGCAGGTCAACCTAGCTTGCAACAAGGGTTACTACCTTAGTTGGGTTGCTACATTGAAGAAGCTTTCTGTCCTCGAGGACTCCCCTCTGTATGATATTAGTCAACTAGACGTGTCTTTCCCCCTCTCTCATCTAATCCGAGGAGGAGGAAGATGAAAAGTAAGATGAAGAGGCTACTACTGACGCCATTGCTAATGTTATTGGGGCCAAGTCCCCAACTTTGAATGATCAGGTCCTGGACCTGACTGAGGAGGATGAGGATGAGGTTTCCAAGAGTACCTCTCCAAAGAAAGCCGACGCCAAGGTCATTGCAGCCAAGAAGAGTTTTGATGAGACATTTAAGGAAATTGATGAAGAAATAGCGACCGAGGCCGGGAAAGTTATGGAGCAAGCCGAGGACAATGCCCCAAAACCTAGTACTAAGGATTTTTTTTTCTTTATTTTAGTTTGTACTTTTCTTTTCCTTGTCAGGCCAAAGTGCCTTTTGATGTAATAAAACAATTTTTTTTTTGAATGCAAGTTTGGTCACTTTTTTTGCTAAGTGTTGTAAATGTTGAATGCTTGTTTCTTCTTGCTGCTTTTATATGCTTGGTATAATCTTATGAATTCTTCTAAGTATGACATCTTCTCAACTTAATATCTCGGGTTAATGTATCTCAAATAGAACCACTATTAATCATCTCGGATAGAATCATCTTAGATAACTTCAACTTGAAAAATTTATCTTGGATAACTTCAACATGCAAAATTTTCTAAATTTTTTTTACAAGTGTCATGTCATATTCACTTAACTCATTTATGCTTTTTGCCCCATATATCACTTAGGTTCACATTAAGGATGCATCGTCTGAATTTGACCTAAGTCTGACTTAGACATCCATGACCGAAGTCGTTGTGTTTAGCTTATCTAAACAAAACACTTAAGGTTTAACCTTAGTGCACCGAGAGTACTGTCTACCTCGGCTTTTCATACAAACTAGCTAGATTCGTGGTTGGTTTTGTCTTGTTTCTTATTGAAACATCTCTTTAACTTAGTTTAACTTTGCCATCATTGCAACTCTAAGTTAATCGACTTGTTGACTTGGCGAACATCGACTTAAGACTTTTCAGTCTTATTTAACAACTATAAATTCCAACAACATTTTGTAAAAATCGAACCAGTATCTTATTAATACTTCGGCTAAAAATCATGTAGATTACATATCAAAAACTTGAAAAATTAAGGATAAAAGAATATCAAATTGCTGGTATTTCATAGTCTTGGCAGTTCTTTGCCATCAATGTCTTGTAACCGATAAGCACCGTTGTCAGCAACAAAGATGATTTTGTACGGTCCTTTTTAGTTTGGGCCAAGCTTATTTTCCCAAGGATCTTTTCTGTTACCGACAGCCTTCCTTAGGATGAGGTCCCCAATTTGGAACTCCCTAGGATTCACATTCTTGTATGCCTTTGCAAGTCTCTACTGGTATGCCCCCAACTGAATTGCTGCTCTTTCTCTTCTTTCTTCAATTAGATCTAATTCTTGGGCAAGGAATGTCTTGTTTATCCCATTCTCTACTCCCTGAGTTCTAACTCTTGGAATGGCGATCTCTAGAGGTATGACGGCCTCTGTGGCCATAAGTCATAGCAAATGGAGATTCGCCAGTAGATTTTCTTAGCGTAGTGCGAACATTAGGAAAATCCTCCACCCACTTGCCCTTGGCAGCTTTTAATCTCTTCTTTATTCAGTCCAAGATGGTCTGGTTAGAGGCCTCGACCTAGCCATTGCTCTGAGGGAAGCTAGGAGTTAAGTAATAGTTCTTGATCTTATACTTCGTGCAGAATTTCTTGATTAACTTGCTGTCAAACTGGGTTCCATTGTCTGCCACAATGGCTCTTGGGATTCTGAATCTGGTGATAATATTCTTTCAAATGAAATTCCTGACATCTACGTCTCAGATTTTGGCCAGAGGTTCAGCCTCCACCCATTTTATAAAATAGTCCATGGCTACCAATAAAAACTTTCTTTGTCTAATTGCCTTGGCTAATTGTTCAATTAGATCCATACCTCACTTGGCAAATGGCCAAGGAGTGGATATTGGGTTAAGGTCTCTAACTAACTGATGTATCAATGGTGCAAACCATTGACACTTTTCACACTTCCTAACATAAGCTTCGGCGTCCTTTTGCATGTAGGGCTACCAATACTCGTGCGATATGGCTTTATGGGCAAGCAACCTACCTCTAGCATGGCTTCCACAAACTTCTTCGTGGATCTCGTACAAGAAGTCTTCCACTTGGGAGCACTGCACACATCATAGCAATGGTCCAATGAAGGACCTTCTATACAAATGGCCTTTTGCCAACAAGCAGAATTTGGCCGACTTAAGTCTGATCTTGTGTGCCTCCTTTTTATATTATGGCAGTTAACCATCTCTGATGAACTTGACTAGAGTATCCATCTAGCTTGGGCCCAATTCTATGCACATTGCCTCATATTCTGTTATTAGGGGTTCCACGCTTGGGCCTGATAAATAGTCTACCATAACTGTTCTCGATGTGTTCGACTTTATGGGGTTGACAAGGTTAGCCAGGGCATATACATGGCTGTTATCTTCTTGGCAGACTTGCTATAGCCGACAACTCTGGAACTGTGCTAGTTACTTGATGACCTCTCTGACATAGGTCACCATCCTGTCATCTTAAGTTGTGTATTCTCCCGTTGCTTGGTTCACGATGAGTTAGGAGCCACAATAGACTACCACCTCATCGGCTTCGACTATTGCTGCTAATTTCAATCCAATAATCAGTGCCTTATACTCTGATTCATTATTTGAGGCCTTGAACTCCAATCGAACTAATTACTCTATCATTTATCCATTTAGTGAGACCAGAACTACTTCTGTTCCTGCTCTTTGTTTGTTTGAACTACCATTGACAAAGAGACGAAAGGACTCACCGATGTAGATGTCATAGGCTTTAGTTTCTCTTGATCTTTCTTCTATCTTGCTAGTGTGGAGTTCTGTGGTGCCAGCAGTGCTTCTTCTGGTTCTTCTGTGCACCCTAGGCCGAGGTTTATAGGTCTTGGCTTCGGGCTTGCACTTGGTGTGAACTCAGCAATAAAGTCGGCCAAAACCTGACCTTTGATTGTTGTCCTTGGTCTGTATTTTATGTCATGTTGACCTAGAACCATAACCCATCGTGTTACTATACCTATCAAATCTTCATGCTGTAGTAGGGACTTCAGCGGGTACTCCGTGAGTACCACCATCTTGTGAGCTTGAAAGTAATGGTTCAGTTTCTTTGATGCCATTACCAGAGTGAGTGTTAGTTTTCCAAAGGTAGGTACCTTGTTTCTACGATTGCCAAGGTCTTGCTTATGTAATACACCGTCTTCTGCTCTACTTCTTCTTCTCGGACGACCACGACACTAACAGCGTGGTACGAGACTTCCAAATATAAGAATAGTTCCTCTCCTAAAATTGGATTTGACAACACTGGTGGGGTTGTCAAATACCTCTTTAAGTTGGCCAGGGCGACTTTGTATTCATCTGTCCATAGAAAGTCTATGGCCTTTTTCAAAACCTGGAAGAATGGCTTATACTTATCTGAACTCTAGCTGATGAATCTGTTCAGCGTAGCTGCCTTGCTAGTCAAAACTTGGACTTTTGTTGTTGTTGTTGAGCTCTTTAGATTAAGAATGGCCTCAATTTGATTGGAGCTGACTTCAATTCCTCTCATAGTCACTAGATATCCCAGGAATTTACTAGATACCATCCCGAAAACGTACTCAGAGGTATTCAAACAAAGGTGATATGACTTCAGGATATCAAAAACCTCATTCAGATAGGCTAAATGATTTGAAGGTTCCTTACTCTTCATGACCATGTTGTCGATGTAGACTTCTACGGTCTTCCCGATCAGATGTTTGAACATCTTTGTCACTAGCCTCTGGTATGTTGCCCTTGTATTCTTTAGTCCAAAAGGCATCACTCTGTAGCAATAGAGTCCATTTGGAGTGATGAATGTTGTCTTTTCTTTGTTTCGTACGTACATGGCTATCTGATGATAACCTCGATATGCATTAAGGAAGCCCATCTTTCCATGGCCAGATGTGGCACCCACAAGCTGGTCTATCTTCAACAAAGGGGAACAGTCCTTCGGGCAAGCCATGTTCAAGCTTGTGAAGTCCACAAAAACCCTTTACTTTTCATTCTTCATTTTTACTACCACTGTGTTAGATAGCCACGTTGGGTAATTTACTTCTCAAATTGTCTGCACCCTCAATAACTTCTCTACTTCCTCTTCAACTGCTTGTACATGGACCAAGGTTGGTCGCTTGGCTCTCTAGATCACAGGTTTGGCCGACTTGTCCACGTTAAGCTTGTGATAGGTGACCTTGGAGCTGATCTCTAGCATCTCATACGGAGATGGTCTTCCCAAGATGATGTTATATGAGGAGAGGGTGTCTATTACAGTAAACTCTGTGGTTACCGTCTTCATTCCTGCCCGAACCTCGAGGTTTGTGGTGCCTAGGTTGGGGTCCCATTGAATCGAACCACGGGGCTGTTGGATTGCTCTAGATTGTCCTTGTGAAGGCCAAGCTCTTTGTAACATCTGATATACATGATGTCATAGGAGGTGCCTTAGTCTATCAATATTCGCCTTACCTGGCAGTCTCCAACCTTTAGAGTCACTACAAGAGCATCGTTGTGCGGATTCTGTACCATATCTAGGTCTTCTTCTGTGAATAAGATCATTGCCCCCTAAGATCATTGCCCCCTGATGTCCCACTATTCGGGACTTCTTTTGCTAGACTTGGTAGATATGCTGCAGATGTTTTACCCTCTATGTCTCACCTCGAATCTCATTCTCATTAACCTTCGTGTGGATCACGTCGATAACCTGTGGGCCATTTACTTGTGGTGGCGAGGGTAAAGGTGCTGCTCCAGGTGCCTGGGCCAACTTCGCCTGTTTTTCTTATGTCTTTGCTTCGTTTGTCAAGTCTCTCAGGTGTCCCTATCTGACCAGATCCTCCAGGTATTGTTTCAAGGCCCTGCACCCTTGAGTCATGTGCCCATTCTCATCATGGTAGGCACAATTCTTCCTTGGGTTCCTGTCCATATACTCATCTGGGGTCTTCTGTGGTGCCCTAAAGTAGGGCTGATTTCTAATCCTTTCCAAGACCTTGTAAATGAGGATCTTGAAAACCGTGCTCATGGGCTACATAGCCTCTAATCCTGGTTCTGGCTTGTTGGTACCATTATTTCCTCGGTTACGCTTCGGCAAGCTATTTCTCTTTTCTTACTTTACTGCACCTATGTTTTTTGCTTTCATGTCTTCCTCTGGCTTCGTGTACTTCTTAATCCTTGTCATGAGATCCTCCATATTCTTTGGGAGGGTCTTTGCAAAGGATTGCCGAAGCAGGCAATCATCTTCTAAGCCGTTCTTAAAACACTATGCCTCTTAGCGTAAGCCCTATGGCCTTGGCCATCGCTTATCTTTAAAGCCAATAGAGAATCTACCCTCAGTGACTATAATCTGTTTGTAGCAAACCTGGCCACAAACATCTCGGTCAAGTCTTCCCAGCTCTTCACACATCCCTTCGGCAATTTGTGGAATCAATCTGACGCTATTTCCTTAAATGTTGATGGGAACATCTTACACAGTAACTGTTCATTCCCACTCCACAAAGCCATCGCATTCAAATACAAACCAACATGGAAGTTTGGGTCTAACTTACCATCATAGATCTAGAATTTTGGTATGTTGAATCTCTTCGGTGCCTCGAACGTATGCAACTCCACCGAGAATGGTGTCTTCGGCTGGGCAATGGATGTGATCTCGACGTCCTGCCTCTTCCTCTGACGGTAATCTCTCAAGTCTTCCTTCGACCGTCCGGGAGCTCGGCTATTGGTCGACTTCAGCCTCTTCAGCGCACTACTTCCTGTGTTGTGTTGCGTTCTTTTGGACTTCTCTACATCCACTACGTTGTCAAAGTAGAGGCCTTGCCCGTTGACCTGCCGAGATCCTTTGATCTAGGTTTCCTTGTTCCTCAGGGTTCTTTGGGACTCCTCCTGCCATGATTCTGTCTGCCCTGCATTCTGGGATCGCCAGTGTGAATTCCCATGTCTCTTCTTATGCTGGGGGATTGTTGGCATTGTAACCAGTCCTTTCTTCTGGGTGTTGGCGTTTCTTGGTTGAGTCAGCGTTTCTGGTAAAGGCAACGCCGGCTACATCACCTTGCTCTACATCATCAAGTTCACCACAGTCTACAAATCTGTCAACTTGTTTGCCAAGTCCTTCAGCTTATCGTCTCCCTTCAAGCATCTTTCCTTCCATACCTAGCAGTCACTTTCATTATAGTATTCTTCCCGGTTGCCTTTTCTCGGCTCATTATGGCCCCTTGCAGCGTTGTTGGTTTCATGATTCACTTCCTGCACCTCTTCATCATCGTTTCCTCCTCCAGTGTTGGGATCTACGTGCTCATCTTTCTCACTGTGCATGTCGTCCTCGATTCTCACATCTTGTCCGGCGTTGGTCATCTATTCTATACTAAGTTCCCACAAACAGCGCCAAATTGTAGGTATTGATTTCCGACCTCACAACTAAACAGGGAACTTAACCAAGCACCTACTAACAAGAAGGCAAGAATACCAAGGTGGCTAGTCCACCCGAGGGCACTCAAATGATCAAATTAGTCAACTTATCTCTCAAAAATATCAAACAAGTACTCAATGCACAAGTCAAAGCATATCTTAAACTCACAGAGGTTACTTCGTTTTTATAGCCAACAGTGTCCTCGTCCCTTAAAAGTCTCATTTCATAGGACTCAAGCACAATGCTTATCTCAGACTCTTAGTTAGATATGAATGAACTCCTCAAAAGCCTCATCCTTATCCGAACTAGGTGCATCACTTATCTAGGACTCTTGTTCTCTATCTGAATATCTCGAATTCCGGTATTACCACATAAGATCTCGCCAATACCACAATCACCTTGGCAATTTGGCTCGTCTACGTGGCACCTCAGCCAACACCTCGGCGACACCTTAGCCATGTGGCACAGCCCTAAAAATACATCCCTACAATAAATTTCTGACTTTTTTAGTTTGGATATGATAATTGTGAGAGAAAAAATAAAACGATTATAGTTTAAGTATGACATTTTATCTTATTTTAATATTTTAATCTATTTTATTTTTTTGTAGGCTAAATTAGCCCAACCAACAAGTTAAAGGAAGCCTTAGGTGGTTTGGCAACCACTTATTTATTTAGATCAAATCACACTTATATTTGGCCATATATTTTTTTGTAAAAAGTTTTTAAAAATTCAATTAAATAAGTAAAGAATAACTTACAAATATGCCCCTAGAGGTTGTATTAAAATATAAATCGCCTCCGGTAGTTTTGAAAATTATATTCCACCTCCTGAGGTTTCTAATTTCATAACAAATTGTTCATTTTATTAATAAATTATTAAGTCAATTAACAGTTTTTAATAATATTAAAAATGTTTTAATTAATAATTTAGATAATTTATTATTATATGGAAGAATAATTATAAATTTTACTTTTTTTAGTTACTTCTGTTAAGAACAATTATAAATTTTATTTTTTTAATTAATTCTATTAAATAAAAAATTCTAATAAGCAAATCGTAAACCACACGAACTAATCTTCGGTGTATTTATAATTTACCCAATAAGCAAATCGTAAACCCACTGGAAGGATTGGTGGTCAGTTGGGGATGGAGAGCTGATAGGTTTGGCACAAGTTTTGGCATTGCTAGCAAGCCCACTGGAGCACCCTTTTCTTCCTCACCCCCCAAAATGGCAGACTATTGGAGATGCTTAACAAATTAGATTTGGCTATAAAAAGGAACGAAAAAAAAAAAATCTCACTCGTTCACTCGTAGATAAAAGACCAGTCTTTTCTTTTATTTTCTTGCCCTCCAAAAATAGTGCTAGGCCTGTGCTTCTCAGCAGCCTTGTCATCGTCGTCGTGGTCGTCTCTGTGGTGAGATCTATATTGGTAATCAGATCAATGCATTATATATATATATATATCTTCCTCTGTGTTGTTCTTTAATTCCAATGACCATTTATGAAATGCTCACTAACTGTTCGGTGAAATGCGCCAATAGTCTTTTTATGTTATTATGCCTATAAACTTAATAAAGTTGCATATTTGATTAGATTCTTGGGTTAGCATGTTCAAGTACAAAGCAAATTTCTTGATGACATTGGTTAAAGATTGATCTGATATTTATTTTTCCATCAGATCTTTCTGAAAAATTCCAAACTAATTCTAAAAATCTATTTTAACAAGTTTTATTTATTTATTAATGAAACCCAATACTTAGGGGGGTGGCGGGTCAGGTTTGGCTCGGGTTTGTCGTAATCTGCCCCCACCTCGTTTCATATTGGGAACGGGGCAAATCGGAGGGTGGCGGTAGCGGGACAGGAGACAGATTAATTTTATAAGTTGAATAATGAAAATAGTTGTAAAAATTATAAGTAATATAATTTTTTATGCATAATGATTTATACTTAATAACAATTATAACATATAAGATAGAAAATAAATGAATAAAAATTAATATTTTAGTATTTGAATTTTCTTATAATGAAAAACCACTTAAATTATATATATTCTATACATATAAATATGTTTAATAGATATAATCGGGGCGGGATACATGTAAATATATTTAATAAATATAATTGGGGTAGGGTTTGGGTGGAACGGGGCGGGGGAAGCAAAACCTGTCCCCACCCCACTTCCTCAACGGGGCGGAAAAACTCGTGTAGGATGGGGTGGGGGAAAATGACCATCCCTATGTCCAATCCTTTACCTCTTTTTTCATCAAATTTAAATTTGATGAAAAAGTGCTCAAAAATTATCTCCAATCCAATCATCAAACGTTCATTAAATCAAGGGAAAAACATTTGTTCATCAAAATTGAGAATTCACCAAATCCTCAATCAAATTAGAATTTAATGAAGTTTAAAAAGATGAAGCATTGGAGATATATTTTTTCCCCTCATCAAATTTGATGAACAGAAATTTCAAATAAGAGTGGAATTTTTAAAAAGATTTTGATGAAGATTTAATAAAAGAGTTGGAGTAGTTCATTTCAAATCAACCTTTTTACTCAAATTTAGAATCAAATTAGATGGAAATATTGATGAAGGGTTGGAGATGCTCTTACTTTTTTTGAAACTTTCATCAAATTTGGGTAAGAATATGACTGTTGGAAATTTGGTGAAGGTGGCGGGTTCATCCTTAATTTGGTAAAAAAAAATTGCCTCTCGCTTGATTTGATGAAATGGTTGGAACACACATTTAGCCATTTTTTTCATCATCCATCATATTTGATTTCGATGGAAAAATTGATGAAGATTGGTGATGCTCTTACAAGTGAAACTTCATATCATGTTAAAAACTTCAACATTTCCGAGGGTATTGTGGCTGTAATTCATCTTATGGTCTCTTTTTTGCATTCTATGGCAATTGCACCTATGCAGCCAGTGGGATTTTGGGTAACAGGAGTAAAGATGAATCTTTGAGTGTGATGAATGCATTGAATGCTGAAAGAGAGAGCGATGGATGATCCTTGCTCTGTCAATAGTCCTCGAAGGGTCCTCAGTCTCTCAAGGAAAAGGAAGGAAACTCTGTTATTTCCAGAGCTTGATGATCAAGCTTCTGGGTTTGGCGTGTCCGGTGAGCATGGTCCAAAACCTTCTGAAGTTTATGGTTTTGTTGGCTCCATTTCGACTGTTGTTGCCACAGGTATACTTCATCTGCCACGGTTGACTTCCTATAAATTGAGTTCTGGCATCTTTTCCCGTCTCTCTTTACTTTGGGTGATGAATTACTAGTAAATTTACTAAGTACAACTAGCTTGAAATCTGACTGGGGGAAAAGCTTAGGTTGGGTTTGGATTTATGGATTTGAAATGAAAGGATTTGGGTATTAATCATTCAAGGAAAATAGCTTAGATGTAGATATAGATTTCAATATTGAATTTGAGAGTTTTATCCTGATGGATTTGAAATAAAAATGTAAAAGTAAGGGTAAATTACGCCATTAGTTTTTGTAGTTTAAGTAAAGTGACAGTTTAGTCTCCATAGTTTCAATTTGAATAATTTGGTCTCCACAATTTCAATTTTGTTGCAATGCAGTCCCTCTGTCACTTAGCGTTAAAATTTGGAACGGAAAAAGATCATGTGTAAAACTAAAGGGATCAAAGTGAAATTCAAAACATACTATGGGGACCATTGGTGTAATATATTCATTATACGTAGTCTTTATAGTTTATTTTGAATTCTACTTTGGTCCCTCTAGTTTTGCACGTGATTTTTTTCCGTTCAAAATGTTAACAACGCATGTCGGAGGAATCACATTGCAATAAAATTAGAAGTGTAAAGACCAAATTGTTCAAATTGAAACTACGAGGACTGGAGTGAAATTTGATTCAAACTAGAGATACCAATGGTGTAATTAACCCTAAAAGTAATTATTTGAATTCATTCATAGTAAGGATTATATTTGTGCAAATATCATAATAAAATAATAAGGATTATACTTTTTACATCTGCATACTGAAATTTTAGGGGATGCTTGAACACTTTTGGCATGGCATAAAATTATTAAGCATAGGCTACCAAAGAGAACAATAATGCACAGCTTCTATATAGATGTTTTGATAAGATGGATATGTGTCGTACATCATAAAATAATTCATGAGGTAATGATTTTTGTGTGAGCTCAGTCGTTTTCCTCAGGCTTGGAAGTCATTTTCAATTGTTTATGATGATCACTATAAAATGTTTTAAAAAAAAAAAATTAAAAAAAAAAAGTTAAGAAAACTGCATTTTTCAGTGTGCTTGATGCATTACTTTTTTTTGGAATTAGTTGATCCACTTGTCTCATATCAGGATTGAGGTTTTTGGAATTGGTTATGATCATTAGGGAAAGTGAAGAATTCAAATAGATCTTGGGGGTTATGATGAATTTTGTTTTACCTATAAGTGCTGAGTTTTAAAAAAATACTACGGACACAAACCAACTACCGAACAAGCATAAAATGGTTTGCATCTATAGATGTGAAACCCCCCACCGTGCGTGTTCAATGGTTGGCATAAAATGGTACGTGTGTTCAGTGGTTGGTTCTGTGTCCATATCACTTTTGTAAGTTTTATGCTGTTGAAGACATTCATTTCTAGGCAATAGGCATGTACTCTTTTCCAAATGCTAATCTTTTTTATGAAGAGTATGTGTTTTTTTTGTTTGTTTGTTTGCAATGAATAGCTTCTCAGATTAAATGACAATTATTTAGTGCTTTCTGAGATCTGATATACATCGATTTTATTTATTTGTTTATTTTTTCTTATAAGCAGCTATTTTCTTGATATGGGCATATGCTCCTGACAGTTGGTTACATACCATTGGGATCTTTTATTATCCTAGCAGGTGAGACCGATAGGCCCTTTTCAAATTCTCTGCATTTCCTTGTCCAAACAAACAATACCCCTGAAATCATCAAATTTGGAGGGAAAGCAGTTCAGCTTTAAAATTGAAAATCCATGAAAAGTTCCTAGAATTCAGTCATTCTAATATATTTTTCTGGAAAATTAAAGTACTAAACAATAAATATTTTGATTAGAACTTTGAAAACTTATTGGGTAAATTCAGTTAAGCAAACTATTTTTTTTTTTTTTCAAAAAAGAATTAATTGTTGCCCAAAATTACACATTAGGTTAGTTCCAAATTAGTCTGAACTGCTTTCCTCATAAAATTAGTCTTACTTTTCTCATAAATTTCCCTGTTAATACTATGTTCACGGAGCTGATTTGTGTTAATAGGTCTTGATGAAAATTAGGACTTGTTGGAAATTTTCCCAATCTTTTTTTTTTTTTTGAAAACTATGGAGACCATTCATATTCTTGCAGTGTCAACACTGTCTCTCCAGATATAGCTTGGAATTTGATATCTCGAATGATTTGATATAGCTTAGGATGGTTGAAAGAGAGGACATATAAAATAGCCAAAGTGAAGCAGAGCAATAACGTAATAGCTTATACCGACAAAAAGTACCCTAACTGAGGGAATTATCATTGAATTTGAAAAATATTCAAAGCGGAAAAGAATAGATCACAATGTAATTACATGATAAAAATGCTAAATTCCCTTGCATTGTAATTTGATGCAAAAGTGATGCCCACATTAATATTGTTTTAAACTTGCAAATTTAAATAGAATATCAAAGGTCTGCATGAAGTAGAATTGCCTCGTTAATTTTTAAAATCCTCAGACCTTATCAAGTACTATGAATTGATTCACTAACCTGCTATGAAAGCCTAGTTCAAGACAGCCCATTTGATAAAAGTTTGGGTTGTCAAAAATGACAATTTGGATTTGAGACTAAGGCTATGTTTGGTAACTTAGGAGAGAAAAGAAAAGAAATGATTACTTAAGTAATAAGAGAAAAGAAAAGAAAAGAAATGATTGTAATTTCTCTCATTTTTGTTTGGATAAGTAAGAAATAAAAGAAAAGAAATGATTGTGATTTCTCTCCTTCTTGTTTGGTTAGATTTCATTAAGAGAAAAGAAAATAAATTATTTTATGTTATATTACCAAAATAACCTTTTTATATTTTCAATCATTTTATTTCTTTTATTTTTACAGGGGTAAAATTGGTATTATGAAAATATAAACATTTGTGGATTTCTTTTCTCTCCAAATCTCTCCACTTTTGGGAAGATTGAAAATAAGGGTTATGAGAGAAATGAGTTTCTCTCCATTTCTCTCTATTTCTCCCCATTTCTCTCCACTTAAGATAACCAAACAAGGAAGAGAAATACATTTCTTTCTATTTCTTTTCTTTTCTCTCCAAATCACTCAATCCAAACACAGTGTAAAGGAAACAACTTCGCAAAAATAATAGCAGAGGCTCGTTAACTATGCAAAAATTAATTATTGAAAAAAAAAAACCATTAATCTTATCCTTTATTGAGACTAACATGACATGTTTTAAACAAATCAAACCTTCCCCAAAATAACTCACTTAACAAAATGTAATTAATGTGGTCTACTGCCTTATTTGGTAACAATTTCGTTTTCAGTTTATATTTACAAAATTAAAAAAACTGTCATAAAATCTTATTTGATAATTTTTTTTGTTTATAAATGGTTGTCTAAATTTATAAATTTTAAAAAAAAAACGTAAAAAATGAGTTTACGTTGGTTTTTAAATAGAAATTTAAAAATTTGACTAATAAATTTTTTTTTTCAATTAATTTTTTTTTCCAATTATAATGTGTATGATCCCATTGTCATAAATAATAAAAAATAAATATAAATATTTTAGGCCTGAACAAATATATTTTTTAGTTTGTGTTTTTAAATTTTTTTAAATATTTGTTCAAACCAAACGCGTTTGTAGTTTATGTTTTTCTAGAAATAAACAAAAATCAGTTTATAAAATTTTTGTAAACATAAACAAAAAACATAAACGTTACCAAACGCTAGTGTTTGTTTATTGGTTGATGTTGTTATCAACTACTGCATAATTAAAAGGGTAAATTATGCAAATGGTTCCTGTGATTTACACGATTTGTGAATTTAGTCCTTCTTGTTTTAGATTGTTCGATTTTACTCCTTAATTTAAAAGATTGTGTCATATTGATCCAATAAATAACTACTGTTAGTTTTGGTGGAAAGTTGTCACGTGCTCAAACGACGTGTCAATTTAGTCCTTGTAATTTATACGATGTGTCAATTTGGTCCATGTTGTGTCAATTTGGTCCATGTTGTTTTAGTTTGCTCGATTTTGACAGGGACCAAATTGACACATCATGTAAGCTACAAGGATCAAATTGACACCTCGTTTGAGTTTCCATCTACCAAAGCTAACGGCCGTTATTTATTGGACCAATATAACACAATCTGTTAAATTAAGAGGCAAAATCGAGCAAATTAAAACAACAAGAATCAAATTGACACATTGTGTAAACTAGGGGGACCATTTGCATAATTTGTCTTAATTAAAGCACAAAAAAAAATTAAGTCAAACAGTGTATCTTGAGTAACTTGCAATTTGATATCTCAAATGATCAGATTGTTCTTACCCTTTCAGGTATTGGGCTTTGGCAGTGCCAACATATGCAATTGTGACCGTAATATTAGCCATTGGATTTTACATTGGCCTCAACTTCATGGCGACCCCTCCTCCAACTTCCTTGAACACAATGTTTGGTAAGCCTTATTCTCCCTTCCTATTTGGTACTTCCAGTTATTGTTAACTTTTGGGAAGGCACTCCCTCACTTTCATCGAGATCCATCTAAAGCTAACAAATTTTGATTGACTGAGACAATATGTTTAAAATGCATTAAGCCCCGAAGCCAAGCAAGAACATGTTTAATTCCTTATTTTGATGCTGCTTTATTTTGCAGATGAGTATAGTAGAGAACCTTTGAGGTCTGAACCTTCTGTGAAAGGCAACGAGCAGCCCATTAAGCCCTTATCTGATATTGGCATCAATCAAATCAATGATCTTATGTTCAACGTTTAGAAATGACAATCTATCCTTGCATGATGACCATCCTGTCCATATCCTTATTGCCTTGTGAAATTATCATTATGCTTTTGGAGAGTTGACTTTGATGCCCGTTGAGAATTGTCCCAAGTGAGAATGAATAAAGTGATTCGAATGCCATCAGCTTGGCCAATATTTCACTTGGGCAATGTAAAGTACACAACCTATGAGGATCGAACAAGATTATAAGTTGTGCTTCGAGTCAGATGGAACTTGTGGATGCAGGTAGTAATGATATGGTGAACACCAATGATATGGCTGGCAGTTACTTTGTACTCTTGGGTGATCGACCGAGTTTCTTGAAGGGAAAATGATTTGAAAACAACAAACTTACATAAAAAAGATCTAGAATGATGCGACAGTGCCATTTTGAAATTATGAGGACAATGATGAGTGTTTTGATTAGAGATGAAGGGACTACAAGAAGACATATCAGTGTCAACTTTTGAGTATTGAAATATTGATATACAGCAGTGCTACATCCCCGAATGACGTTGCAAGGTTTGTTGCAAATTGTATACCAGTTGCTACATCTCGCACGCAACAAAACCAAAACCATCGATATTGTTTGCACTTATCCTTGTAACTGTATATCACCTCTATTTTGTGAATTTATAGGCACACACCATCCAATAAAACCACAAGCATCACAAGAGAAATAATTTGTTTTTGTTTTAATTAGTTTCAAAAATAATTTGTTTTTGTTTCGCTCAGTTTCACATAAACAATGTACAAAGGACCAAATAAATAGTTAACATTTTTGTTTTTACCACTTTTTTCTGCTTTTAGGGCTAGTTTGGCATGTACTAAATAAGCTTAAAAGTCAAAAAGTCACTATCTTATATAAGTCACATCATCTTATTTAAATCACATCACCTCTCTAACACATCACATCAAATCCAACCCAAACCCAATCCAAACCCACCAATAAGTCAAAAAGTACACTTTTTTAGGACATCCCAAATCAATTAGTCTTTTGTCAAGATCTGTAGACTACAATTTTGATCTGAAGCACTCAGCAGGGCAGATTGTTATACAAGAAAGAATATCACAAATTTCATGCAAATGATAATGTTTGGTTCGCAGATGAGGGATGGAATAGAACCGTTTTCTCGTGGAATAAAATTATGGTCAAAATCTATTTGAGTTGACCAGTGGGCCAAATTTTTTTTTTTTATGAATTTAATGAATCGAGTTTTTTGAGAGTTTTTAGATTGGTTTGTAGTTGTCTTTGTAGATGATATCTTGATTTATTCACTCTCTAAGGTAGAACATTTACGGATGGTGACTTGCTTGGAGTGCACAAATTGTACACTAAATTTGAGAAATGTGAGTTTTGCTTTTCGAAAATGAAATTTGTGGCCCACATGTTGGGGAAAAGAGTAACAGTTGATTCTTCTAAGATAGACAATGTGCATGATTGAGAACAACTTATGAATGCATTTGAGATTTAGAGTTTTTTTGAGGTGGAACACTTACGGATAGTGTCTTGCTTAGTGTGCACAAATTGTACACTAAATTTGAGAAATGTGAGTTTTGATTTTCGAAAATGAAATTTCTAGGCCACGTGTTGGGAGAAAGAGTAACAGATGATTCTTCTTAGACGATGTGCATGATTGAGAACAACTTAAGAATGCATTTGAGATTTGAAGTTTTTTTAGTCTAGCCGGGTATTATTGACATTTTGTGAAAGACTTTTCTAGGCTAGTTTTCACGACTTTTCTAGGCTAGTTTCACCATTGATTAAGTTGACGAGGATCAGAATTAAATTTGTTTGGAGCAAGGTCTTGCAATTTTTATTTTTTTTTCAAGAGCTTAAGCTAACAACTACACCACCAATTATTGCGATGCGTCTTGAGACGGACTAGGTTATGTGTTGATTCAAGAAGGAAAGGTTGTGGCATACGGCTTACTTTACCTTTCTATCTTTTAAAAATAACCATATACCCTCATGTGTTTTTTTGATTAAAATGTAACTTTAACACCGTTAATGTTAACAATAAAAAACCAATTATACCTTTATATCTTCTTCTTCTATTTTTGACTCTCTTTGTAAATAAATAATAAATTCACCTCCATGACTAAGCAAAAAAAATTAAAAATATAACACAAATCTAATTTAAAAAACTGGAGTTTCCTAAATCATTTTTTAATAAACTTAATTTTTAATTTTAATTAAGGCTTAATTACACTAATAGTTCCTATAGTTTGGGACTTGTGTCATTTTGGTCCCTGACTTTTCAATTGTGACACATTTGACCCTGAATTTTGAATCTTGTTCCAAATAAGGACAATTGAAA